TAACCGCTCGACGGCGCTACAACTGGTGGCAGCGGTGGGATTCTCCGCATTATTCCAGTGATGTTTTTGTGTGTGGATTTATTCAGTCAGTTGACTCTATATGTGAAGATGAGGAAATTTTCTTATATTTCTTTTTATACTATTCGCAAGAACGGATCTGGATTTCGAAAGTCTATAGTGGACACTGAAAATTACAATCTTTCATGTGAAAACTGCGGCAAAGTATTTCCAAGGAATCAGGCAAGGAAAAAAAGTGTTTTTGTCTTGTGAAAATTGTGAGCTTTCCGTGTTCAAATTCAGATGCGTAAATTGTTACCACGTGAATAGCTGCTAGTGTGAGGAGCAAATTAGTATACAGTGACGCCGTTTAAAATAGTGTGTTTTTAAAATACTAGAAATGGATTCCAGGAATAACCCAGCTGCTCCTAGACTTGCATATATATACGACTATGATGATGCCGGAAAATTAGTTTTAGTAAGGATTGAGGATTTTTATTTACGGAAGGAATGTCCAAACTGTTTTAATATGTTTGTGAAAACGGAAAACACGCATGAGCATCTAACGAGTGGACGTGTGATTGTTCGTTTCTATAAATGCCAAGCTTGTGGATGCCGGATTAAAATACCCAATTAGTGAATTTAGTGATTTATCAATCTGGATCCGTTTGTTATATTTGTGTTATTTGCCCACTGTGCTCTTCTACTTAAAATGTTTCAAACACCGACGAATATGGAATCACAAAGAAGGATTTCAGAGCGTCCAGCTCCGTATTATACGCCTTATCCAAGGACTAGTGCGCGGAGAAATTTAATGAATGAATTCAACAGGATGTCGCCATCTCCTGGTATATCAAGTTCACCGCTCAATTGGAGTGCTAGTGGGAATGAGCGTGAAACGACAAGCAGTGCAGAATCCGGGAGCGCCGATTCCAGTACTTGGTTTTCATATATTTCTTATTTTCTGGTTGCAGCAGTTTTATGCGTGTTGACAGCATTTGGAAGTTATAAATTCTTCCCTACGGATTATCTACTCAGTCTGTCTCGTGGAGCGGGGGTCATTGTTGGAATTTTGTTATTTATGTTTCTTTGTGCAGTGTTGTGGAAAGTGTTGAACAAACGACGTTCCAATATCGAGAATGAGACATCTAGCGAGCAGATGCCAGGAAGAGGATCAGGATTTAATATTCAAGTCAAGCGCACTTTTAAGGGCGAGGGGGCAGAGATATGGAGCGAGTTCATTCGATATTTTGAGAACATCGCCATGCTTAATCAGTGGACATTAGATATGAAACGGTGGGTTCTTATTACCACGTTTAGAGGATAAGCGGAAACATTTGCGTACGGATTGCCAGAGGATGTTTTAGAGGATTACAGTCAACTGAAGCAAAGTATGGATGACAGGTTTGGTCATCATGCCTTGAAGGAAAGTTACATCGCCGAGGCAAAATTACGAAAAAAAAAGAAATACTGAATCTTATAGAGATTTCGGACAAGCCATTGCTGATCTTTATAGGAGAGCACATCCCAACAACAGAGACTACGTAGAGGAGGCCAGTCTAAAGACATTCCTAGACAACTGTGATGGTGACGAGGAATTCCGCCTTGCTGTAAAGCGAATGAGACCAAATACGCTACAAGAAGCTGTGACCGCGGCAATGCAGGAGGAATGTATTAGAATAACAGAAAACAGGAGTTCCAGAAATAGTCAAAATCGTGTTGTTAGACCTGTCTACAGAGTTAATGATTCTGTAAACTTTGAGGTTAAACCTAAGATACGCCCCCCGCAAAACAGTGAAGTACAAATTAATGAAGCTGCACGGAGAATAAAGAAATGTTACGAATGTAACTCAACACAACACTTGTATAGAGACTGTCCTAAGAAGAAAAATGCAAATGACAGTAGACTGCAGAAACCTTTAAACCTGAAAGTGTCGAGGCAGTAGGCCATGCATCGACACAGGAGTTAGTAAAACGGCCTTGTATAGGTAACAGGCAACCTCAGGACACTGCGGACGTTGCTAGTAAGGGAAATGTTACTGTATCAACACAGACTGTTGTTGCTGAGAATATGCACTTGAATTATGACTCTAAGGATGATGAAGTTAGAGACTTTGTAGAGATTCAAGGAAAGTCGGGTATGAAGTTAGATGGTTTAGTTGAAGGCACATCAGTAGAGTGGAAATTAGACACGGGTGCAATAAATACGTTCATTACAGAGGATACTTATCTTAGCATCCTTCCAGAACATAGACCTGTACTTGAGTGCGTTAAGAAAATATTCCATACAGCCGATGGCAGGAGGTTAAAGGTTATAGGAACAGCCAAAATGTTACTTTCATTTAAAAGTTTTCAAGTGATTTTCCGTGTGTTTGTTGGAGAAGTTAATAGTAACTTATTAGGACAAGACTTTATCACCAGGTTTCAATGCCAGTGGAATTATGCAAGTAATCTGTGTACCCTTAAATCACAAAACGAGGAAATTGTGCGGGGTAATTCTGTATTATGCATCGAGGATAGTGTCGTTCCAGCTCATTGTGAAATTGTGATTAAAGCAGCGTTCGAGCGTAGTGCAAATGTTGCTGACGGTATTCTAGTTCCACTAAAAACATTTGTGTTTAGTTATGGACTTGCTGTAGCGAGAGAATTAGTAACTGCGACTACTGGCCAGAATATAATATATGTGCGTGTTTTTAATCCAAATGATCGTGATGTAATGGTGAGGAAGAATTCTGAAATAGCAGTATTTGATCCTGTGGATGCTGTTTCAACTGTGAACATTCCGGAAGTAAGCAATGTGACGTCAGTGGATAATCGACTGCCTGAATATCTAGAGCCAATCTTCAATGATGCCTGTAGAAATATGACAAAAGAACAAAGTTTAAAGTTTAAGGACTTTCTTTTGACTCGTGTAGATGCGTTTGCAGATCCTAGTAAACCTGTGGAACGTGCTAAGAGCATCGCATTAAATTGAAGGAGGAAGTACCCTTCAAGGAACCAGTGCGCAGGGTTCCGATTTTTAAGAGAGAAATCATGGACGAGGAGCTTCGGAAACTGGAAGAACAAGGGATGATTGAGAGATCTAATAGCCCGTGGTCCTCACCTCTTGTGTTAGTACAGAATGTGCTGTTGTTTCGCCTACTCTACAGCCGAGATGTAATAGACCTGCTAGAGCCAAAGCACGGAAGCAGCCCATGATGTCGTTAAGCTATGAAAGCATTCGTGAGAATCAAGCTAAAGACAGCGGAATGCAAGTCATAATACGATGGCTGGAAAATGGTGAAAAACCGCCATTATCAGTTATATCTGGAGAAAATTCAGAGTGTAAATTCTGGTATTCGAGATGGGACTTATTGTGTATTAACCGTGGTTTGTTGTGTATTCGTTGGATTTTAGACAAAAGGGAGGAAATTAAAATATGCTTACCACGAAACATGCGCCATGTTGTGTTGTGGCACATGCACGATTCTAAAGTGGCTGGACATATGGGAATTTCAAAAACATTAGCGAGAATAAGAAATTCACGTTATTATTGGCCTAGAATGCGTCAGTATACTCAGGACTATGTATCGGCTTGTGATATTTGTGAGGAGAGGAAAAACCCGTCTCGTAAAAAGAGGTCACACATGAAAACTTTCCTGAGTGGAGAACCATTTGAGAGAATAGCAGTTGACATTGCGGGACCATTTCCAAAATCAGAACACGGATATGCGTATATTTTAGTATTGATGGATTATTTCACTAAATTTACTGAGATATATCCGTTAATGAACATCGAAGCTAAGACAGTGGCGGAAGTTATTTTCAAAGGTTGGATTAAACGATATGGATGCCCAGGCACAATCCATTCTGACCAAGGCAAACAATTTGAAAGTAAACTTTTTCAGCAGATGTGCTATTTATTGCAAATTGACAAAACTAGAACCACACCGTATCACCCACAGTCTGACGGAATGGTGGAGAGAATGAATCGCACAATCAAAGACATGCTTTCAAAGTATATAAGTGCAAATCAGACAGATTGGGACAATTATATTGACGGAATTGTTCTTGAGTATAACTCTACCCCACATGAGACGACAGGTATTTCACCGTACAGATTAGTGTTTGAAAGAGAAGCTCGATTGCCGATTGATGTTATAACCGGAGGTGAAAATAACCTGTGTCCAGAGATTGGGATGAACCAAGTAGCGTATGTCCGTTTGTTAGAAGAAAAACTCTTTGAAATTCACGAATATGCCAGAGAAATTTCAAAGAAATCTTCTCTAAGACAGAAATCATATTTCGATCGAAATGTGCGTGAAATAAATTACGACATTGGTGATTTAGTGAGACGAAGTCAAACAAAAGTAGCTAAAGGAACTAAATTAAAATTAGCCAGAAAATGGACAGGCCCGTGGACTATAGAAAAACGGTTGAGTGATGTACTTTATCAAATAAGACATTCGAAACAATCAAAACCAGTAGTTGTTCATGCCGACAACCTTAAACCGTATAAAGGGGGCAAGCGACCAACTCTCCAGTCCGAAGAATCCGAATACACAAGTGGCGAGACACCAGATGTTCACTACCGACGCGTGCCAGCTGCGAGCGAGAGACCCGAACGTACTCAATTGAAGTTACCGCCAGTCACACCTTTGACCAGTGCTGCCGAAGCAGAACAGTCACATGCCGACAGCCAATCAAATTACGATAAACAAGAGCAAACGTCTAAGGACAGCCCTAAAAGTCCCGTTACCAAGACGACTCGATTTGGACGACTAGTTAAACGACCGTTGAGATTCAGAGACTGACACTTTTAATTAGGATTTTAACTAGATTAGATGGGATTTTTATGCGATATTTGTGGAATTTTCTTTAATCATCAGTGTAATTTGAAAAGACATTTGAAAGAACAACACCAGTCTCAAGTGAAATCGCTAAAATGTAACTTTTGTCAGTAACTTTTTCTTAGATCGTCAAACTTGAAGCGACATTACAAGAAAGTGCATAAACTTAGTGAAATGAGTGTTAACGAAGAAATGGAGCGGACTCAAGGAAATAATGTTAACAGAGACTTCTATTCATCCTCAAAGAAGCCTGTTTATGTGCTAAGTGATCTCTACGAGGACATTTCATCAGACGAGGACGAGGTCATTCGTATGGACCAGACTCCCCAAAATTGTGACATTGGACAATCTGACTTCATGCAAGATTTGGAAATTATTTCGGTGAACACCAATGACTTTGAGGATCGGGCCGATGAACTTTTGGATTATTGCGACATTGATGACGAGCGGATGGTTGTGGCCGACAGCGATAAGGAAGAAGAAATCGAGGAGGACCAGAATTCAGATGGAGGTAGAAAAGTAGAATTCAGAGACACTGACAGTGATATCGCGAGTGAGGATTGCATTGACAATAACAATATCACAAAATCAACTGTGTGTCTCCTCTTAAATAAAACCACAAGGAACTACCCTGACGGCACCATAGAAGTTAGCCGGGACACACATGTGGTATATTTCGAGGATTTGACCCCGAGTGAGATAGACTACGAAAGTGTAGCTTCGGAAGTATTGTCCGAAATTCCGAAACATTTCGAGGAGGGTAACATTAGGTTCACCTCAGGAGACTTTAGTTACTTGTGAAAACATTGTACTGTAAATACTGTTAAAATTAATGTCTATATGAACATACAGAGTATAACCTATTTTGTTGATATTGATTTGTAATGTGTATTATTTTTTTGAACGGAGTCAAAAGTTAAGCGTGGGGGAGTTGTAGTGATTTAGGTTAATTAAAAAAAAAATGTTTAGTTTATTTAGTATTTAATTATGCTAACGGTCAATTATTGTTTTGTATAACTATTTTTAGATATAGCTACTCGATGCTCCTTGCGAGGATCGGTTAGTTTGTTACGCAATTCTCTTTGTTTCGAAGGTGATGCTCCTTATGAGCATCGGCCAGCGGGTATATATATGGGGGGGAAATTTTGGGTCAGTTAGTCACTGTGTCGTTGGGATTTATGTGTATATAGAACGTTCAAAAGATACTGGATTATTGTCTTTACATATTATTGTGATGTGTTTTACGGGCACCTGTCCCTGTAAATAAATTGTATGTAAAACTTACCAGATGGTTTTATTTCAAACATTGAGGAGATTTTAAAACAGAGGAAATATTTTCATTTTACTATTTACTATATGAGGGAATAAATAAAGCCGTTTACCGCTCGACGGCGCTACATATAGAACTGAAATTTCACAGAAACATATTTCGTAGAGAATAAATTCTTGGTTAAGTTTTTGATTTTATTTAATATCTCTTAAAATTACTGCTGTTTTGATACTGCTGATGGTGATGTACGGAGCACGGCAAAACTGTTTAAAAACAAACATGCGGTATCCAAAATATTATTCATTTATTTTCCATATTTCACGATATTATTCAACAATTTTCTCTAAAATTTCTTTTTATTGTTGTATTATTAAGTATATAGATTTCTGACGTAATATTTGAAGTACTAAGAGAAATATTGTTATTTTCCTCCGACGTGACCCCTACGAAATCAACTTCAAAAATGAAATCTCGTGATTTGACGGAGCAGTGCACTTTTATCAAATTATGAATCATGCTGGGAAAACGCCAACGGAGACCCGAAATAAGCCCAATGAAACATGTAGTAAACCAGGGGAATTTCCGACACATCTCTACAAAATATAAAAAAGAATTTTAGACTGTTAGACCTTAGTCAAAAGGTAATCCGGGAGGAATGGAAGAAGTTCATCGACAAAACACTGATCTGGACTATTAAGAATGTGATTGAGATCGACCGACGTCAAACTTTACTTCAGAAATATCTGCAGTTTTGGGGTTTAACACAAACTAGAACACACAATACTAGTTTTATAGTTTTTAAGCTGATCAGAAATGGTATATGGATGTTTATTTTGAGTGGATAAGGCAACCCAAACTATATAGTATCATATACTAAGGGAAAACATTGAGAAAATGAAAGCTCCCATTTTTTAAAAACGCCCGTGACGTTGAAGGTTTTTACTGCGCCGTGACTTCATGATATGTCCTGTTAAATCACCCAAAATTGATACTAATTTACAATATTTTGAAATGAAATTTTGATGACCATATATGAAAAGATTCTTTTATATTATTTGTGACTTTTTGCTTGATTATGTCGTCAAATATATTTTTTGTGCAACAAGTCCGCGTAAATTTTGAACGGCCCTCGTACAACGTTATATTATGTTTTCCTATATACATGTATGAGAATAAATGTTATGTGCATACTGGACATTTTCGGTTGGGTGAACTTCTACAGCTATCAGCGACTATGGATAACGAAGTGTGGAAACCATGTTGTGCAAAAATGTAATAACTAATTATAATACAAACAAATGATATAATCTAATCTTGCAAAATGGTTATTGGATACATTTGATACTGCATTACCATACCATATACCATAATGTATCATGTTATATTAGCGCAAAATACCAAACACCAAATCAGTAATACTACAAAATGATATATGTTCTGTATGTATGAACCACAGTATTTCTGTATCCTCCCCCCTTTAAAACGATACTACTTTCCTGAGTAAATTTTGGTAGTGTCCACCAAAAATGCTTGGTTGTTAGGGCTGCGCAATAATATCGATATTCTGGTATATTGCGATTCGTTGTCAAAAAATATCGATTTCCGATACGTTTTTTCGTAAACTGCTTGGGCTTTAAATTTCGTAAATAATATATGAAATCTAATATGTCAGGAACGTTTTTTCAATCGTGCAAAACAGTACCAAACGATAAAGTTGCTGTTGTATGGTTGCATTTTCTTCCAAACGTGTACTATGAAATCAACAAGAACTGTTTTGTAACACGCTCTGCTTATAGATGAAAGTTAATAAAATATGGAAAAAGAGCCTTTTAACCTATTTTAAAATATTGCAATACATTTCGCAATACAGTTAAAATTAACGCAATATATCACAATACGAAATTTCCAGCCTATAACCAAGACCCCAACCTGAAATACTTCTTAAGGGCCTAGAATTCTTGGACCATTTCAGATTTTATTAACCCAACTCAATAATTTTTTATCTTTGAAGAAGGCAAGATTGTATTATATGTACCTCATCTTGTATGATATGTAGTTCATGTTGTTAAGTAGTTTTGTCAAATGAATATCTGATTAAACGTATTCACTATAAATCGAAAAAAGCATATTTCAAGAATGAGGACTACTCTTGTGGATTGACTGTAGAAACTGGCATTTACCAGAAAATAAAGAAGCTATAGAATATTTTAATTTTTTTAAATGCCGAATGAAGTATTGGATATGAAATCATATTTTTGATTGAATTTTTTAGTAAATGTCCTGTACGTGCGTCTCTAAGAAAAATTACATCAAACCGCATTATTTTAGTTCTCCAACTTCACTCAAACTAACGCAGCTGTCTGTTCAGCAGCTAATAATATATATTGGTGTTTCGATTGACCATAGAAATTTAATTTATAATAATTTATCAAAAATGATGACAATCAGAAGACTTCATTTTTGACCTACTTAATCTTTCAGAAATTTTCATATTTTCGCCCTTAGGGGAATCTCAAGGCGCCCCCAGACCTCCTGTCTTATCAGCTCGCCTCACCCCACTTTATATCCTCTACCCACCCTTGATTGTATAAGATGCACATGTCAGAGCTTTGGTAACTTTACTCTTAAAATGTTTCAATTGTTAAAAAGCCCTTAGCGATATTTAACGACATCCCATTCCAGGTATAAAAAGCAGTTTAAAATACTTTGCATCATTTTTGGTGCATAATGCGCTCCATACCGAAGCTCCGTAGTCGCTTTTTTGTAAATGTTCACACAACCGAAAATGTCCTATAGTAACATGGGTAAATTTATGGGGAAACATTCAAGATACAACTTATTTATGTTGACATGCGACTTATTTACGTTAAAATGCAATATAATTATGTAGACATGCGATTTATGTCAACATGCAAGAGTTTTATGTAGTCATTCGACTTATTTGAAATGCGATATGATTATGTTTACATGCGACTTACTAATGTTAACAAGCAAGATAGCTTTGTTGATAATATGCAACTTATTATTTTTCATGTTCAAATATAAATAAGTCGTATATCAACATAATCTCGCAAAGGTACAAAAATATCTTGCAAGTTAACATAATTAACTTGCATGTTGACATAAATAAGTCGCACGTCAACATAAGTATGTTGCATGTGATTGTCGACTTAATTGACTCGCATTTCGACATTAATAAGTCGCATATCAACATAATTAACTCGCATCTCGACATAAATAAGTCGCATGTCTACATGCATATGTTGTATCTCGCATGCATGATGTCAGATACTGGCACTAATAAGTAAATTTACCCATATTAAAATCAGATTCTCTTAAAAAAGATTGGTAAATTGCATGTCAACATAATTATTTTGCATGTTAACATACTTTTCTCGCATGTTGACATAATTTATCTTGCATATAGGGGACAAAAATATGCCACCATAGGTTGTTTATAAAAATCTGACGAACAAGTGTGCAAGAGAAGACAAAAATTATGTAAAAGCTTTATGAAAGATTGACATTTTTTTCTTCTTTTTTTGAAATCCTAACCCCGGAGTCTAGGTATAGACCACGGATAGATGGTCAAAGTTTAAATCCGGATACATGTGTATCTATATGGAAATTCTTGAAAAAATCCAGCTTGGGAAAACAAAAACGATGACATTCTATAAAAACATTTTAATTGGATTTCAAAAATGGTAGTTGTAGAATGACTAATATAGAAACATTCCAGTCTCCTTCATTAACTTTGATTCAAAAGACATTTAATAACTAATTCAAGTGAAATAGATTTTTTTTAAAATTTCACGTACAATATTATATTACATGTACTAAACTTTCATCTTGGGCCTGAATATTCTAAATAAAGGGAAAAACACAATGTTTTTGTTTAAAAAAAATGTATTTTATATTTCTCCGAGTTCTTAGGAAATTAAAGCTTATCAAGTTTTATATCCTTCTAAATCTTATCAATTTTTATATCCTTTTTGAGCTAACGTCACGGTAGCTCAGTCGGTAGTGCGCTCGCTCCGTGATCGGAAGGTCGTGTGTTCCAATCACGGCCGCGACTGACCTAAGTCGATAAAAAATAGGTAGCAACTGTTCCTTTGCCAAGCGCTCGGCACTTTGAAGTGAAAGTTGCGGGTCCTTCGGATGAGACCTTAAAAACCAAGGCCCCGTGTCACGGTAGGCATTGGCATGATAAAGAACCCTCACTGCTCAATGGCCCTGAGTGCCAAGTAAAGATCTAAATTTGAAGCCGTTTACCGTGTATGGTGACGTCTCTATATGAGTGAAAAATTCTCGAACGGGACGTAAAATAACAAACAATCAATCAATCAGTCCTTCTTGAGCTTCTGTCGTAATAATAATAAAACTTTTTTTGGCTAGAAATTATATATGACAAAAGGGTTCCACACAGTACATGATTTATTTCATAGCTAATGTATTTTTTTTAGATATAAAAGTATAACAACTGATTTCTCAGATATGTCATTTAAATCACATATGAAAGTCCGAAATAGAC